CCTTTTGTCTAGGAAGTGGATTCTTGTTCTGCTAGGGAGGACAGTTAGAAACAAAGACAGGAGGCCAGTGGCTGGGGTAGAGTATCTCCGCTGAGGCTGGGCAGTAGCTGGGAGTAGAGAGCAGGGGACAGTTGTGAGTGGCACATGGGGAGCGACTCATCAGTTACCGAGAGGACCTGAGGAAGAGAGAGGCGCCAGGACAGTTCACAGATGAGTCACAGGAGTCACCCTGCTTTGACAGGAAGGTGATAGAGAAGATACATTCGGGCTGAAATATCTTTGCTGCACTTCAGGGACATCCAGGATGACCCTGATACTCCAGGCAGCCTTTGAGTTTCTGGAGTCTGGAGCTGTGAACCAGATCCAGAGACTCCTGAGGCCGTGTGCACAGGATCCTGGGAGGCAGGTGCAGCTGAGTCTAGGAATGGGTAGTAGGATAGTCTGGGCTGGTGGGTGAGGTTTTATAGTTTACTGACCAGCAACACAGGGACCTTCACCCCATTGTAGCTTCCAGCGTGTCTGAGGCCACCCAGTAGGGTGGGGTGTGAAACTCCCAAGAAGCCCCAGCCTTCATCAATTTGGTCAACAGGAAAGGTGGCTCCCATTGCCCTCCTGCAACCCTGCTTTCAAGCAGTTGGAACAGCCAAGAACTGGTTCCCATCACTCAGGAGCTGCGAAGGCTCTGGGTGTGAAGGACAGCAGATGCGAGACACACTGCCTCTTGTAGATTCTGAACTGGTCAGAAGGGCCAGGAGGGAATGAGTCTGGTTCAGAATACTGTGTTGTGACCTTGAAAGAGATGTTCGACCTCTTTGGTCCTTGACTTCTCCAGCAGCGTGACCTCCTGACTTGGTGACTTGCAGGCCACTCCCTCCCTTTCCTCATCTGATCTGGGCTGTATTCCCCTAATGACCCCATTTGCACGCTCCGGAGTCCCAACTTTTCTATCCAGGCCAGGCAGTTCTTATAAACACAATAAGGGGAAATAGCATGAGAGATGAGGAACCCAGGGCAATTAATCATCAGGGAGTGACATTTGGTGAAAAATCAGGTGCTTAATTAAGCAGGAAGAGTCAGAGGCCTGGGGGAAGATGATGTGTGTGGAGGGCAGAGAGAAATCTCTTCTTCTCACAACCAACCTTTCTTGCCTCGGTTTCTACCCCCACATACGCCAGTCCCCTGCTTGAGGCTCACACTCCACATGTCTTTGGGGTCGTCCAAGCATAGTGATTAAACCAAAATCTGGTGCTAGCTGCCTGGGTTCAGAGCTTCATTCTCCCACTTATTAGCTATGTGACCTCAGACAGGTCACTTAACCAGTCTGTCCTTCAGCCTCTCTACTGTAAAACGAAGATGACAACCATTTTTAATCCCTAGAGTGGTTAGGGATTCTGAATTAATATGTGATGGTTAATCTTCATTGCCAACTTGTTTGGAGCTGGCATCACCTCGGAAACAGTAGTGGATGTGTCGGTGAGGATGCTGCCAGAGAGGTTTAGCAGGGAGTGAAGACCTCCTCTGAATATGGGCACTACCATCACAGAGGCGGAGTGAGGGGTAGGCATCAGTGGGGGATGGAACTGAGTTAGGGCATGGAGGATAAGTTAAGTGGGGGCTCAGTGGAATAGGTTGGGGTAACAAAAAACCCAATGAAGGACACAGTGAGGGGGTAGGGCACTGTGAGGGGGTGGGGCTCAGTGGGGATGAAGGATCAATAAGGAGAGGGGCTATGGCATGAAATCGTGTACTGAATATGTCTGAGAAAGAGCTCTGAGCATCAGCGTTCACCTTCCTCTGCTCCCTGACTATAATACAATGCAACCAGTTGCCTCAAATTCCTGAGGCAACAAAGTGGAACTGCTTTTACCACCATGCCAACCCCTGCCCTCACTATGATAGCCGTGCCATCAAAGTGTGTGCCAAAAAAACCTTCCTTCTTTAATTGTTTTTGATGGGTATTTCATCACAGAAAGGAAAAGAAGTTAATATAGAAATTGGTGCCAGAAGTGGGGTCATTGCTGTAATAATCCTGATCATGTGGCTTGCAGGTCTTTAGAACTGCTTTGTGGGAAGGATGTGAGCTACTTTTTGGAGCTGGAGGCTAGAGCAGCCCTAGAATGTTATAATAGGAGCTTAATGGACCATGTGTAATGGACTTGTGTAAGTGCGGAAAACCAGAATTCCAGTAGAAATGTGATCAATGAAGTTGTGTCTCACAAAATTTCAAATAGGAATGAGGAGTCTATTGGGAATTGGATGTTTGTTTTATATCCTGCAAATAATCTGGAAACATTCAGGCTGTGGCATAGTTATTGCTCACTGCATTTTGGAGACTTATAATGAGAATTCAAAGCGGAAAGATATGAAAAATATGCAGTTTATCAAGGAAAGGAATGTGAATGTGGAGGTTAAAGCTGTAGACATTAGACATGTAGACATGTCAGTGGGTGCTGACAGGTGTCTACAAGTTTACGAGATTTGCAACATCAAATAGAAACATTTTACTTTGCACTGAGCCAATGGGAAATGTGGTCTGAGGGCTCAACCACACCCATTGGAAGCTCCAGGTTTTAAAAATGCAGATTCAGCCGGGCGTTGGTGGCGCATGCCTTTAATCCCAGCACTCGGGAGGCAGAGGCAGGTGGATCTCTGTGAGTTCGAGGCCAGCCTGGACTACAGAGTGAGTTCCAGGAAAGGCGCAAAGCTACACAGAGAAACCCTGTCTCGAAACCCCCCCCCCAAAAAAAAATGCAGATTCATTCGAAAGGAAAGAGAATGAATGGAGTATGCTGCTGTAGGGGGCTCTTGGCCCCAAAACAACTGCATAGGGAAACATTTTCCTAGTTGAGCCACCAAAGTGCACAAAGGTTAGTTACTACAGCTGTGGTAGAAGTGGGCCAGACTACATCATCAGCTGATACCAGAACTTCAAAGTGTCATCCATATTGTGTCTGTTTGGCACATGTGAAATATAAGAGTCATAGGACCATGCAGGTGTGAACTAAAGTTCCAGAAAGCCTGTGAGTTCAGAACATGCTTTTCAGGGTCATAGTCCTTGCTAGGAGGCCCCAAGAGGTCACTGCATGGATTCTGAAAGAGAAGCCTGTGTTCTAAGGAGAGCCCAGGATGTTGAAGATGTATGGAATATCCATCCACAAGAAAATTAGCAGGCATGAAGTCGAGCCAGTTCAAGAAAGAGGATTATTTATGCTACAGGTGGCAGACCTGGATGGGTGAGGCTACCCAGGACTGTTGGCACCCAGATAGTACCACCCACCAAGAGCCGTCGATGCTACAGCGTGGAGATCTGGACCTTGCTCTGTTGAATGCTCTGTCTCACTTTGGCCTGACCTTTCCTTGCTATGGTCCTAGTCCTTCTTTCTGGAATGAGAAGGCTTACTGTGTGCCGTTGTATATTGGAAGTATGTGACTTACTTTTTGATTTTACAGTGGCTTACAGTTCAGATTTTGCCTTGAACCTCAGATGAGATGTCAAATTTTGAGCTTTTGAATAATGTAAGGATGGTCAGAAGCTTTGAGGACTCTTACACATAAACTGTTGGTTCTAATGCGGCACTTTTACTCTGAGAGGAAAAGTCATGAGGCATGACAAAACCCATTATCAGAGCAGAGTTTTATTAGGAGAAGGGAGGAATAGAAGAGAGCGTGACCAGGCCTGTGGAAGACTTGTGTACAGAGGGAGGAGGAGGAGGAGGAGGAGGAGGAGGAGGAGGAGGAGGAGGAGGAGGAGGAGAAGGAGGAGGAGAAGGAGAAGAAGAAGAAGAAGAAGAAGAAGAAGAAGAAGAAGAAGAAGAAGAAGAAGAAGAAGAAGAAGAAGAAGAAGAAGAAGGCGGCGGAGGGGTCTGTGAACCGCTTCTTATGGATTCCCCTGCACCTGCGCATATGGGCTTATGGAGCTACGCCACATATGCGCAGATTGCGTGATCACGCTGCGTGCAATTACACGTAGCTCACAGACATAAGGCTCCTTACTTGGCTACTGAACTGCGCGTGTGCAGTCATGTAGCTGGAGGAGTGGCCAGGAATCCCAACATAAACTCCATACAGTTTCCATCAGGAGGTGGATTTTGAGAACAGAGGACGAATGTTATGATTTAAAGTGATGTGTTTGGGTAGCAGGTGGCTTGTGATGGTTGATCTTCATTGTAAGCGTAGCTGGGTTTGGAATCACCTAGGAGATACACCTCTGTGTGAGAGGTTTAATTAAAGCACCCCATGGGCTAGGGTCCCAAATTTAAAAAAGAAACAAATGGGACATCAGGCTGAACACCAGTATTCCACCTCTTTCTGCTTCCTGACTATGGATGCAAGGCGACCAACTGCCTCATGCTTCTGTGGCCACACCTACAGCCGCCCTTACAGCCATGCCTTCCCTGTCACAGTGGACTGTACCCTCAAACCGTGAACCAAAACAAACCCTTCCTTGCTTGAGTGGCTTTTGTCGAGGATTTTGTTGCGGCATGAAGAAAAAGTAACTCGTCCATTGTCTACGTTAAGGTGCTTGTGTGATCTGACTGTGATGGTGCGCAGAGAATGCCCGGCGACTAGCGAGGTGGTCCCTGTGTACTCCCCCTCTCGTGCTTAGCGCTAAAACCTGTGGAACAGATGGGACACTTGTATACTCCTCAGTTCAGTTCCTCCTGGGATGCTCAGGCCAAGGAGCAAGGTCAGGACTTGACTTGACACCCCCAGCTGTGAGCCCTGATGTTCCTGTGCTCTCTGTTACCCAAAGACCTGCCCTGGACCTTTTCCACATCTACAGTCAAATGGAAGACCAGGCTGTGGCCACTAGCCCTTCTACACAGGTTGGGGTGGGGCAGGGTCCCACTCCCATTTTGACCTCCCTTATGTCCACCATGACGCAAATCGTCTAGATGCCTGTGTGTGTTCAGCCTGTTTGTATACTTCAGGCTGGTGGGGGTGGGTCCAAATCCTCTTTGATCCAGGGCCTAAGAGGTGAGACCATGTCTTATTTTCAGAGAGGCGGTGGTCTCCGGGAAGCGGCTGAGCTGCAATGGACTGGGCCCCTCAGACCTACTAGGAAAGCCCTTGACTAGGCTGGTGGCTCCACTGGCTGCTGGCACCCAAGGTAAGGGCTGGGAACTGGACAGGGATGGGGAAGGCTGGGGTTCGGCTCCCAGGTCGTGTCTGCTTTCTACTCACCCTCATCTGTCTCCTCCTTTTGCTCTGCGTCTCCAGCAATCCCTCCTCTAATTCTCTCTCTAACATGCTACTAATCTCCCAAAGCCTCGGTTTCCTGACTGTAAAATGGGACAGCAGTGCCTTTCTTGAGGGGATGTTTCTGAGGCACAGACGAGATGGCATGTGTTCAGGGCCTGCCCTCCTAGGCTTCAGTGACTGGTGACTGCTGCGACTCTATGCTTGTGCCTGTTGCCAGATGGGGCTGTAGTTGTTGTCATGCTCTCTGTCACTGTCCGTGTCTGTTTCTTGTCCTCTCCATGCCCTCTGTCCGCCATGTCTCTCTCTGCCTCATGTCTCAGTCTCTCTAGGTCTCTGTCCTCTGTCTCGATGTGGAAAGTGCACAAGACTGGGAGTCAGGAGGCCTGACTTGCTGAGTGATCTTGGGCAAGTCACTTCCCCTTTCTGGACCTCGGCTCCCCGCCTGTAGAACAAGGATGCTCGTCCTTGCCTGCCTCCCCCCCTCCCTCGCTCCCAGGGTTTCTGGGAGAATCACAAGAAAGTTGTCAAGTGAGGGGCTCTCCTTCTACTCAGGGGTTGTTGCTGTGGTTGCTTTTGTCACTGACTCAGGTCCGCTCTCCGTCTCACCGGGCCTCTGGGTCTCTCTGTGTCTTTGTCCCAGCCTCTCTGTCTGCATCTTTGTCTCCTCCCCTGGGTCCTTACTCAGAATCTCTGGGCCTCACGGGGCCTGCAGGACCACCTCATTGCCCTCTCTCCCCCCCGCAGTGCTGATCATACCCCTGGTGGACAAGGAGGCTGGAACTGTGGCAGCTGTCATCCTGGTAAGAGCCTGCCCACATGGCTGGGTTGTGGGTAGGATGGGGGAGAGGAAAGCAGGGGGGACATCTGTGGCTGGAGTCTGCCCCCCGCCCCCGTGTATGTGTGTGTGTGTGTGTGTGTGTGTGTTTGTGTGTGTGTGTGTGTGTGTGTGTGTGTGCATGTGTGCATGTGTGTGTGTTTGTGTGTGTGTGCATGTGTGCATGTGTGCGTGTGTGTGCATGTGTGTGTGTGTGTGTGTGTGTGTGTGTGTGTGTGCGCGCGCGCTAGAGAGAGGAGGTGGCATGCAAGGCACCTGGGATAGAATGGAGGCAAATGAGGGCTTGGCCAGAGCCTGGATCAACTTCACAGTTGGGCCTCACCCTGGCAGGAAGAACCCACTGGTCCACTGGGTAAGCCAAGCTCCATCTAGACCTAGCCTCATCACTGTCCTCTTGGGAAACTCTGGATGGGTTATGGGTAGTGTCCAAGAGGACAAGGACACAGTGAGGTGATTGTGACCAACAGACACTGAAGGGCACGGGTGGCCGTGAGACTGTCAACCACTAGAGACACTTAGGCAGTTTAAATATCAGAACTGGGGGAGCTAGGGACTTAAGGAGAGGTGGGTGTCCCTGATGGAGCTGCCTGGGCGACAACCAGGGACCAAGATGCCCCTTGAAACTGTGAACCAGAGAGAGGAGAAGGGGCCTCCCTCAGAGGTGGAGATGCACGGGGACTTAAGGGGTTGTTTTCCCTGGGCTCCTGGGTGCTCTCTGCTGCCCCTCACGGGGTCTCCCAGGCCCCTGCTTCACAGCTCCTTGGAAAGGTGGCTGAGTCTTGCCAGCAAAGATTCTATTACTCTTCTGATCCCTTTTTCCATATGGAGATGGAAATCAAAATTCTGTCCTATCCCAGGAAAAGGCTTGCACCCCAAGTCACAGTTACTGGGAATCTGCCAGCGTCAGAGTGGCGCCGCCCGGGACAAATAAACTAGGCACCAAGGGACTCCTCCCGAGCTCATTAAAAGGGAATTAAAGGTTTCTGAGGCGCCTGACCTTTCCTGAGCTGCGGGGCAGGCAGTGGGAGTGGAGAGGGCAGCTACCAGCTGCGATGGGGTGCTGGGCTTGACTCCCTGACACCAGGCCACATCTGCTTGAGGAAGGGAGCAAGCTCAGAACCACCCCTACTGAGGCTTAGTCCTACTGATGCTTGTGCCTCCCTGGGGACCTTTAGACAGAACTCTCATACCCCACTTCTTACCCTGTTTCTTGGGTAGCCTTGCAAATGCTAGTCAGCTCTAGCCAGCAGTTGGTGGGCTAAGGATAGGCCGGGGCAGGTGTAAAAGTGGGGTTGGGGAGACAGTGGCTTCAGCACATCCTCTCTATAGACACAGGGCCTAGAAGTGCCAGGCTCCTTGCAAGCCCATCCTCACTTTGATACAGTGAAGATTAGGTGGGAAGAAAAGTATCTCCCCAAGGTGAAGACATTAAGGAAGTTGTTCATCTTGGCACAGAAGGATGGATGCCATGTTCGCCTTGGCTTCGCCTTGGCTAGCTTTACCCCAGGAGTCTGGGATTTAGTTTCCTGAAGAGAGGAAACTCCAGTGTCATCTTAATTCAGCCAGCCACTGGCTGGGTGCTGGAACAAGCCGTTTCTACTTCTTGGAGCTTTCAGTTTGGGGACAGGCAGGGACACCTTCAGGCTACCACAAGCCACATGAAGTAATTGCTGCCAGCCGGGGCTCTGGAGGCAGAAGCTGGAGCAGCCAGGGGAGTCCCACAGCGGGGAGAGCATCTGAGCGAGGCCTTGGGTGTAGGCAGGAGGTGGGAAGGCAGAGAAAGGGAAGGGCAGAGGCAAGGGCAAGGGGAGAGCAGGGGGTGCTCGGGGAGGAGTGTGATCCCAGCCAGGCTGAAGTGTGAGGTGTGCACCACCAAGGAAGATGCTACCTGGGGCACCCAAGTTTCTGACAGACATTCCTTCATCTCCTCACACATCCTGACTGTGAAGAGCTCTTGAAGGGAATTTAGAGCATTTCACTGTCCAATTCTCCTCTAAGCCTGAAGCTTCCCAGTCAGGTAGAAACACACTTCTTTGGATGCCTGCTCCCTAAGGCACACACATCTGACAGCTGCTCCCAGGGTCACAGGATTGTTCATCCTCCCAGAGGCAACACAGGCAGCCATGGGGTACCCAGCTGCTACCCAATCCTGAAGGTAGAGGGCACAGAAGGAAGAGGGCGGGCCGTAAAACATCAGTTCCTTCCTTGATAACTGCAATTTTTACCTGGGTATCTGCTGTTGGTGTCCACTGTCCACACACACACACACATGCACGCACACGCGCGCGCACACGCACATACAACCCATCCAAGACCTCTTTCGACTAGGTGTCAAGCTCTGTGTGCTATGTTCTGGAAACACAGAAATGACCTAGATAGATCATCAGTTTCTGCGTTGAGTCCTGGAGGGCATGGCACAGTGTCAAAAGTAAGGGGAGAATTTCGAACACTGGCCAGCTCTAGCCTGGAGACCAGGGAGTCCTGAGGAGCATTGGGGTTTGATGGAGCTGCTGTCAGACTTGCTAAGAAATGCGCCGTCAAGCCAGGCAGCGGTGGCTGGCGCACACCTTTAATCCCAGCACTCCAGAGGCAGAACCGGGTGGATCTCTGTGAGTTCGAGGCCAGCCTGGTCTACAGTGCAAGATCCAGGACAAGCAACAAAACTACACAGAGAAACCCTGTCTCAACAAAGAAACAAACAAAACAAAACAAAAAAGAAACGTGCAGTCCAGGTGCATGGCTATGTGCCTGAGTTCTGAGCTTTCGCAGCTCAGTTCAAGCGCCTTGACTGCAGATGCTTGGTGTTGAAATTCTCTTACTGGTTTTCAGCTCTGGGATACCAAGTCCCTTCGAGGAGTGGGTGGCTCTTGGTCTCTGGCGTATGATGCATGATTTGTGCCTGTTGCCCCTCCCCTAGCTGTGCCTGTTAGCTCCTTCCATGACAACAGAGCGTTCACACCATTAGTCTTGATGAGGGTGGGCCTGGTAGCCTGGCCAGGTTTTCAATTCTGTCTAAACCCTGGTGCCCACAGATCAGTATTTCCCACTGAGCCTCAGACACCCACCTTAACATTAACATTTACAAGAGTAAATGTTACCACATGTAAGTGTGTTGGGGAGACTAACTGGCTTGTGTTAGGAGATATTGGAAGTACGGGTGTGGGTGTATAAACTAATTTCTTGTGTGCTGGTATGAATGCAGACATGTGGATGTTGTGGGCAGTGGAAGTGCAGGTGTGTGTGTGTGTGTGTGTGTGTGTGTGTGTGTGTGTTTCCATGGGAGAGTGGATGCAAGTATGTACATGCGAAGGGGCTTTAGGGTCTTCAAGGGAGTACCTGTGGGTGTGTCTGAGCACATGCTGAGTGGGTGGGCTGAAGCAGCCCGGCAGTACGTGCTGGGATGAGGGAACATCACAGTTTCTTCTTTTCCCTCAGCATTTTCAGACCCCCAGCTCTGCATCTGGGTCCAGGCCTTTGGAAAGCCAAGGAGCTGGTTTCCTCCCCCCCAGCTCTAGAGGGGTCTCAACTGCCCCTCTTCCTGAGAGATGGGTCCAAGTAGAAGGAGCAAGAAGGATGCTGCCCTCCACATACTAACCATAAAAAGCCAGCATAATTATGTAAAGCATATGCGGTTGGCCTCAGACGCGCTCAGACTCCTGTCCTGTAGGAAAGCGCCTCATTCCCAGCTTAAGCTTCAACACAGCCCTTGCCCCTCCCCCCAGGTCTCTTTCAGTCTCCCTAGTTCTAGTCTTGCTTCCTGACATTTACCCTTCATCCCATAGATGACAGGTGTCAGATGCTAAAGTTTGTCATGGTTCCCTAAATTCCAAGTTCAAGGCCTTTCCTTCTGTGGCCCCTTGGACATCTCTACTCCCCACCCCTGGGCTTCACCTTCCTACATACCCCCCACCTGGCACTTAACTGGGACAGCCTCTGGTCTACAGCCCCCCTCCCCTCTCTCTTCTCTCTCCTTTTCTGTTTGTACTTCCAATTCAGGAAGCCTCCCAAATACCATTCCCTCTGAGATTCCCAGCCCAGGCTGTCTGTGCCCACCCAACTCCCTCATGTATAAGGTCCCACCCCCACCTCCCAAGTGCACCCCAGCTCGACTCATCCTGCTCTGGGCCAGAGCCTGAGCTTCCTGAGAACCCTCTGGTTCCTTCCTCTCCATCTGTTCCTGGCAGGGGACCCAGAGCAGAGAGGCAGGCAGGGGCTGCTGGGGCAAGGGAGGCAGGGTGGAGCCCCCCACCCCTGCAAGCCCCATGGGAGCTCCACAGGTGGTGAGCAGCTTTGAGTAAGCTAAAGAAGTTGAGAAGGCAGGTGGGGAGCCTTGCTGGCAGCCCACGATGGGTTCCTAGACTGCCATCCCTCCTTCCCCTCCACACTTCCTCTTCCAACACCCAAGCAGGGTGGAGGAAGAGAGATTTCCAGAGCATGGAATATGGCTGAAGGGAGCCCTGGTGACTGGCACAGGGGACACAGATTATGGAGGTGGTAAGAATGAATCTAGAGAGCGGAAGTGTAGACAGGAAAGGGAGGGAGAGGAGGGAGTGGTCCCAACTCTGCCACCTTCTGCTTGGTGACTTTGGGCAAGCCCCTCACCCCTTCCGGATCCTGGCTCATCTGTAAGGGGGAGACTGCATCCCACGGTGGTGAGGATCCCATGTAAAGCAAAAAGCGTCCATCAGTCCATTCATTTCAGCTGCATACCTTCCCTGGCAGATGTCATGCTGGGCTCCTTTATTCCAGATGTAAGGGCACCTCAAACCCCACCCAGAAAGATGGAGCTGGGAGGCTGAAGCTAGTTCCACAAATCCTTAGCCTGAAGCTCCATGTGTGGAAGCTCCATGGAGAAGGATCTAAGGTCCCCTTCCTAACACTGTACACCTGGACTGTGCTATCTATGGGACAGTTTTCTCCAGGAAGGGGACAATAAGCATGGAAAGTGATGGGACAGAGACAGAAAAGTTCCGCCCTTTGCACCTTCCCTAGAAGTCTTCCTTGGGAAAATGACTCCCAGAGCTGGCTGCCTGGCCCGAAGGATGGGCTTACACGGAGGTCACAGACTGTGTTGGTAGCGACTGGTGTGTCCTGGCCATGGGAGGACATGCTAGCAAAGACAGGCTGGGGAAGGTCACAGCTGGTCCCTTCTCCCTCCCTGCCAGGTGCACTGTGGCCAGCTGAGTGACAGTGAGGAGTGGAGCCTTCAGGCCGTGGAGAAGCATGTGAGTGGGGTAGGACCACGGTAACACAGGGCCTGGGGAAGGCCTTTAGTAGAGCTGGTGGGAAGAGGACCTGGCCAGAGAGCTGGGCAGACCTGGCTTCTGGTTCCAGCGCTACCACCTTGAAGCTTTGGGACCTCGAGCAAGCCATGCAGCCTCTGTGAGCCTCAGTTTCACAGCTGAAGATGGGGATAATGATAGCATTGACTTAACCTAGCGACGAGTCCAGTACCTTGTGCATAACTCAGGCTCTTTTCTGCCTAAGATTTCGGGCATCTGTGGTCTTAATCAGGATGGCGTTAGACAGAAAAATCTGACCCTTTTGGAAGCCTCTGTGAGCAAGGGGTGGAGACAACTATACTTGGCCATGGATGGAAGGAGGCTCTAAGGGCAGTGGGAACTCTCAGGAGGGGGAGGGGCCAACGGCTTGAACTGTTTGGGACCAGAACAGCAGTGGACAATGGGCACTGTGGGGCCCACAGGAGGAGCTGCTTGAGCAAAGGGGAGAAGTCGGGTAGTGGCACCAGCAGCAAGGTGGGGTAAGGGTGTGCTTACTGCTCTGCCTGTCCCAGACTCTGGTGGCCCTGCGGAGGGTGCAGGCTCTGCAGCAGTGCAGGCCTGAAGCTGTCCACAACACCTCAGTGGATGTCTCTGAAGATCAAAAGGATGAGAAGGGGTACACCGACCATGACCGAAAGATCCTGCAACTGTGTGGTGAGGACCAAACTTGGACAGGTCTATAGGACCAACAGGGTTGATCCTAGAGGGGCCAGGGCCGGGGCTAGATCTGTGGAGAAGGAAGGGCCTGAGAGGTGTGTGTAGCAGAAGGCAGAACCCAGATAGCATTGGAAAGAATGTGGGTCTTCTGGGTGGTCAGGTGGGGCCTGAGGAGAGGCAGGGGTGGAGCATGGAAGCAGTGCCCAGGCAAGGCAGAGCCCTCTCTGATTTGAGCCCTGTCCTTGCAGGGGAACTCTATGACCTGGATGCCACTTCCCTGCAGCTCAAAGTCCTTCAATATGTGAGTCCCTGAGCATCTTCTCCTCCACCCCATCTCTCTCCAAAGACCAGCAGACCCTTGGGCCTCTCATCTCAATTCCCATGGGGACATCCCATCCTCTCTACTCTCCCCAAAGCCTGACCCCCCCTCCCAGGCTAGAGGGTGACCCAGCCCCACACTCAGCCCAGCTCTCTCTGCCCCCTTGCAGCTGCAGCAGGAGACACAGGCATCTCACTGCTGCCTCCTGCTTGTGTCAGAGGACAATCTGCAGCTTTCCTGCAAGGTGAGGGCCCAGGTCCACTGTGATGGGGCAGGGTGACCCGTGTCTGGCTTTCCTTCCATTAATCTGTCTCCATTACTGGGTTCCACAGGTCATTGGAGATAAAGTGCTGGGAGAAGAGATCAGCTTTCCTGTGAGTTCCACCTCTGTCCTCTGCACTGGAGTCCCAGCAGGACTGGGGCCCGCTAGAATCTCTTGGCGGGACTAGTCCAGATCTTGAGGTCTATTTAGAAGTATTACAAAGGAGCATTGTATCTCATGCTCAGGCTCCAGTAGGAGCAATCTCTTAAAGACTAGAGGAAGCCTTATGTGGGATCAGCTCCCTCCTGATGGAGTATTTCTAGACATGAGTCTATTAGAATCTCTTGAGATCAGTGAGATTCTTTGGAGTCTGCTTATCACTCCCTAGTTAGGGAGAACCATCAAGTCCACTATTGGCTACCCCAGTCCTCCCTACACCCCCATCTTCTGCTCCTCAGCATCAGCTCCATCCATTCTTTGAACTGCTCAAAGAGTGTGTGGGAACTTCCAGACTTGGAAGAGAAAGATGAGTTGAGATCTCTGACACAGGGACATCTGGGTCAACTGGGTCTCTCTTCACTCTCTAGCTGACCATGGGACGCCTGGGCCAGGTGGTAGAAGACAAGAAGTGTATCCAGTTGAAGGACCTGACCTCTGTAAGCCATGGCCATGCTGAGCCAGGGGAGAGGGAGGGGGAGACCCCTTGCTCAGGCCCCAGGGTCTTGGGAATGGGATAGCCTAGGAATGGGAGGACAAGACCAAGAGACTTTGTGGCATCCCATCCTCATGCCATAGCAGGTTGCAGAGTGTGGTGGAGAGTGGGGAGAGGAGGCCCACTGCCCCTCCTCCCCTGCCCTGGCTCACTACCCCTTGAATCTCTGCAGGATGATGTGCAGCAGCTACAAAACATGTTGGGCTGTGAGCTGCAGGCTATGCTATGTGTCCCTGTCATCAGCCGGGCCACTGACCAGGTGGTGGCTCTGGCTTGCGCCTTCAACAAGCTTGGAGGACACTTGTGAGTTTGGGGTTGGGAGGTGTCCATAAGGAGTTGGAGCTGAGAGGCAGGGCAGGGTAACAATGTGAGAAGGGACTAGGCAGGGGTGCTACCCCAGCAGTGATGGGCCTCAGTTTGCTAATGCAAGATTGCTGACTCTCCATCATCTGTTTGTTTTTGTTTGTGGTTTTTTTTTTTTTGTTTTTTTTGTTTTTTGTTTTTGTTTTTTTGCCATTGCCTCTCTGTGAGACCGCAGGGGTGGGTGGGGGCATCCTAGAAGAGCAGGAGGGCAGCCGGCTCTGGTCTTGGCAAGTCTCTAGTCTGAGGGAGGAGACTAGCCCTGGTCTGAGTGACTCCAATCAGAGAAGGGAGATTTGGCTTTGGTTTCGAGAGGCAATAGCTCTCCTGGTGTGGTGGCATAGCAGTAGCCCCAGCTTCTAGGGAGTCTGAAGTGGAGGGGGGGGTCACTTGAGCCTAGCAGTTCCAGGACAGCCTGGGCAACATGTTTATAATCCTGCCTCAAACAAACAAAAAGAAAGCAGCAATCTAAGGAGGAACCCACATTTTGGACTGAGGACAAGTAGACATTACCCTTGAGAGAGCATTCAGCCTGAAGGGGGAGGCAGGGAGTGTGGGTGTCCTCAGCCTGAAAAAGAGTTCCCTGAGCTGGTAGATATGGGCTTCCAGGCAGCACGGAGGGAAGGAGAAAAGGGCTGAGAAGCCTGTCTTCCTCCCCTCTCGGGCGAACCACCCCTCCCTCCAGGTTCACGGACCAGGATGAACATGTGATCCAACACTGCTTCCACTACACAGGCACGGTGCTCACCAGCACCTTGGCCTTCCAGAAGGAGCAGAAGCTCAGGTGTGAGTGTCAGGTGAGTGCCTGCCTGCCTGAAGGCTGTCCTGCCTGCCTGGGGTTTTTCCTGGGGACCAGCTCCAGCCCCAGAAGGCTGTCCACTAGGGCGTTGCATGTCTGTGTTATCTGGGCTAATGGCAGCATTGCCCTGGTGCATCTAGGTAACCTAGTGACCTGGAAGTCTGTTCAAGAGGAGGGCAGGAGTTCCCTAGGCTCTAGGCATTGTCTGGGATTGCCCTCTAGTGTCTAGCATTGGCACTACCGCCACATCTGGGCAGCAAGAGGCAAAGGTGGTGAGGCCCGGGAGCTTCCAGCTCATCTTCTCTGGGCTATCCCTCTATTCCTTCATTTAGTACCCAAAGGTTTTCATTAGACATGTCAGTTTCCAGTCTATTCCGGGAGCCCTGGGGAAGGAATGAGAACATCCCCGGGGCCATTGGCAGCAGGGGGTTGGTTAGGGTGAGCTCTGACCCAACACTTTATGATCTTCTCTTCCTCCTTCCCAGGCTCTTCTCCAAGTGGCAAAAAACCTTTTCACTCACCTGGGTGAGTGACTGTCTTCCACACAGGCTGTTTGGGGAGGGGACATGGAGGGCTTGCCTGGCACTTCTCAGGTCTCATGGAACTTCTTACCCCTCCTCTAGATGACGTCTCTGTTCTGCTACAGGAGATCATCACCGAGGCCAGAAACCTCAGCAATGCAGAGATGTGAGCAGACGTGGGATGGGGGAGGGAGACTGAGGCCTCATTCCTCACCATCTCTGCCCCCTCCCTTTCTTCTTGTCCGGCATTTCCTTCTGACTGGGTCCTTATTTCAGCCGGGATAGCGCTAGCTTAGCATGCCATAGGTTTCAGTGTCACATAGTAGGAACTAAAAACAATACAATACAAAACAAATAAAAAACAAATGGAATGCTTGGAAATGGCCAGCTCTGAGGAGAGTATCTCAGGTCAGGACACTCCTCCAGGGCCTCAGAAATCGCTACCCTAGTCATGCATGGTTGGAGGGGCATCAGGACCCGACGGACCAACCACTTTCTCTCCACAGCTGCTCGGTGTTCCTGCTGGATCAGAACGAGCTGGTGGCCAAGGTGTTCGATGGCGGTGTGGTGGACGATGAGGTGAGGAAGTCTGGAAGGTGTCCAGGAGTACGCAAGGGCCCTGGGGAACAAGCCACATATGAAGGTTGTCTTCTGCTTTCTACTCTATCCCTGTCTGGGCAGAGCTATGAGATCCGCATCCCGGCGGACCAGGGCATCGCGGGCCACGTGGCGACCACGGGCCAGATCCTGAACATCCCAGACGCATACGCCCATCCGCTTTTCTATCGCGGCGTAGACGACAGCACTGGCTTCCGCACGCGCAACATCCTCTGCTTCCCTATCAAAAACGAGAACCAGGGTGAGAACTCCGGGCTGCCAGGGGTGGGGCCTGGAGGGGCTGGGCGGGGCCGGGGCGGGGCGTAGTGGAACCCGGCTTAGTTTCTTCTGCTCGGCTAGGGTCCGGGAGTTGAGGCGATTGGGATTGCCTGGGCTTGAACCACTACTTTCAGAAGAGTTAGGGAAAGGCAGGTCTCACTGGACCCCTTCACCAGCTATTCCTATCTTTCCTCTCTTCCCAGAGGTCATCGGTGTGGCTGAACTAGTGAACAAGATCAATGGGCCATGGTTCAGCAAGTTCGATGAGGACCTGGCCACAGCCTTCTCCATCTACTGCGGCATCAGCATCGCCCACGTAAGGGAGCGCGACCGGGGCGGGGAGAGTGCTTTTCTACTCCCCACGTCGGTTCTCTTTGCTCTGGTCTGTCCATCCATGCGTAGGGCTCAGGTCCCAGTGAGTGGGGTGATGTACAGACTGCAGTACATGCTGGCTGCCTCTGCTGGTTCAGCATGAAAGCTGGGGATACTATTTCCGGTCTACTCTGCTTCTGAGGATCATGAAAAAGAAAAACATGAGACAAATAAACAGACAAAAACCCCCTAGTTCTACTAGGCTGGTGGTGGTATGGGCCTGTAATCTCAGAACTTGAGGGAGTGGCAGGAGGATCAGGAGTTCAAAATCTTGGCTACACAGCAAGTTGGAGGCTAGCCTGAGCTACATGAGACACTGTCTCAACAAACAAAAAACCCCAATACACACATACAAAACCTTATTGCTAAGATGCCACCCCTCCTCCGGCAACTCCAACCCAGTCTACTAATCAGTGTCTTTTTGGCAAATGTTGGGCCTTTCTATCCAGGCTCTTAGCAGCTCTAGCCTGAAAATCCAGCCCAGGTTCCCAAGTCAGTTCCCCCTTCCGATCTCCTCCATGGGCTCCATGGCTCCATCACTGAAGTCTGGGTCAGTCTTCATGCACTGCAGACACATGCATGAAGTGCCTCAGATGTTAAGAAAATGGAGAAGGCCAGTGAGAGAACTGAGTGGGGGTAGAACCTGAAGACTGGGCTGTTGCTAATGGTTTACGCCGGGCCTCCAATGGGACAGGAAGGAGAACTTCGGCACTCGGACCCCTTCGTGCCGGTTCTGGGCATTCGGAGGGTGTCGCAGCCTCCAACTCCAGCCCCATCTTTCTCACTTTCTCCCCTCAGTCTCTCCTGTACAAGAAGGTGAACGAGGCTCAGTACCGCAGCCACCTGGCCAATGAGATGATGATGTACCATATGAAGGTGAGGCTTGCTCGGAACTCCTGTACTTCTTAGGGTCTTGGGGACACCTGCTCCACACTTCTTCCCTGACTCCCAGAATCCTCTGCAGCCCAGGTCCAGGCTGAGCTTTCCTATTGCTGGCTCTTGGGAATGTGACAATAGACCCCCATCAGTACCCGGCCTCCTGCTCTGCCTAGGGACCATCTCCCCCTTCTCACACCCCTCTCTCCCGAGCCTTTTTCTCAGTCCAGCCCCAGTCTGGAAGCAACCAGCAGGCTTTCGCCCAGGGGATAATTTGGTTCAGACAGCTACCCTCATCCCATGTCCAGAGACTATGCCTCATTTGGGGAAGCCCCGAAGGCTGAAACCTTGTTTGGGGTCTTTCTCCTACCACTCTCTGGCTGCCATGGTCATGCATCCCTGTGTGATCCTAATTGCTGATACTGCAATCCCATTCCCAGGCCCTGCTTCAAAAGAGCTTCCTCAAGCCTTAGCTTAGAGTATATGACAATTACTGTTCGTTGGGACATTTCCTCTCACCTGTCCCAGTACCTTGGGAATAGATACAGGAGGGATAGAAATTACACATTTGAAAGCTTTCCCCAAGAGACAAACTACTGGACTTAGTGGCTGTGAAAGCACAGGTTGGGGTATCACAAACGGGGGCACCTGCTGTCTTTGCCTTTGGCTGTCATGGATGTGGTCATCTGTGCATAGGCAGGGGACACAGGCATGTGGGCTGCAGTGCTGTGGCGATCTGTCCAGTGACAATATGAAGAGTTGGGATCCAAGTTGATGAATGCTGGACAACGGATCCCCCATCTGCATGGGAATCTGATGGGAAGGACACTGGAGAGGGAAGAGGCCGTCTGCTAACGCCTGGCTTGTCCGCTCTAGGTCTCTGATGATGAGTACACTAAGCTTCTCCATGATGGGATCCAACCTGTGGCTGCCATCGACTCCAACTTTGCCAACTTCACCTACACTCCTCGCTCTCTGCCTGAGGACGACACTTCTATGGTGAGCAGGCCCTTCTCAGGGTGAGAAGGGTGGAGTGTGGGAAGTGTAGATGTCAGCTAGATGTGTGTAAGAACTTCCGGGTGAGGCAGAAGCACCAAGGAGGGCTATGGAGGCTCCTTTAGAGACAGGCTGGGCATGCCGCTTGCCGTCATGGGCCATGGGCTACTTAGGGAACAGCAGTGGGCTGGATGGTGGTTCAAAGCTACCCTAAGTGTGTGGCCGTGAGGCTTGAAATCCTGTCTCTGTTCTTCTAAGACTGCATGTGGGCTTGTTTCCAAAAAGTCTTAGCTCTCAAAACCCTCAAATTTCGGATAATTCACAGCTTGACGCATGCCTGTTCATCTGTTTAATTGTCCTTTAGTTTAGGTTCAGAGTTTTTTGTTTGTTTGTTTGTTTTGAGACAGGGTTTCTCTGTGTAGATTTGGTGTCTGTCCTAGATCTTGCTCTGTAGACCAGGCTGGCCTCGAACTCACAGAGATCCGCCTGGCTCTGCCTCCTGAGTGCTGGGATTAAAAGCATACACCACCACCGCCCAGCGAGTTTCAAGACTAATTTTTTTAGTGTGAGGATTCAAGAGAGGTAGAGACAGAAGCCACATCTTGATAGTGACTGTCCCTCTGACACCCCCTCTCGTTGCTTTACAGGCCATCCTGAGCATGCTGCAAGACATGAACTTCATCAATAACTACAAAATTGACTGCCCAACTCTGGCCCGGTGTGTGCCCCAGCACTGCCCTTGCAGCAGAGCCTCAGTTTCCATCTCCAGTTGTTCCCATCTCATGTCCATTGCCCCCAGCATTCTTGGGAGGGGTCTTTCTAAAGATGCCTGGGGGAGGACTGGATTTGTGGGAGCAGGGAGGGATCTGTGAAGGAGGAGCCATTCTCAGACACCGGGTCATGAATAAAGAAAGACAAGAAAATGTAACGGGCAGAGTCTGGAGGGCTTCCCGGAGGAGGCGAGGCTGAGGGCCCTCTGCTGTCTCGGCTCCCCTAGGTTCTGCTTGATGGTGAAGAAAGGCTACCGGGATCCACCCTACCACAACTGGATGCACGCCTTTTCTGTCTCTCACTTTTGCTATCTGCTCTATAAGAACCTGGAGCTTTCCAGCTACCTCGAGTAAGTGGCTGTCCTTTCCACAGGCCCCAGGTGTGTGCCAGGTCCTTTCTGGCCACTCGTTCTGTCTTCTCTGCTCAGGGGGGAATGCCAGACAGCCCCCACCTTCCACAAGGGGGCTGCTCAGTCACAGAGAATGATGGGCCTGATTCCCCCAAGGCTGCCGCACTCCCGAAGGAGAGCTGCTTTCCAGAACCTCCTGACCGCTGGGTGGTCCCTGGGCATCTCATCCAGCTGTCTCTTCTCTGAGGCACCCAGGGAGGAAGCTCTGGGTGACATTTCTCTTTACTACCTCCCACCTAGGGACATCGAGATCTTTGCCTTGTTTATTTCCTGCATGTGTCACGACCTGGACCACAGAGGCACAAACAACTCCTTCCAGGTGGCTTCGGTGAGAACCTGCTCTCCTCACAATGGGGGCCCTCTGCCTTGCCCTTCTCAGCCGGAGGAGCGGAGGAGCGATGGCCCGCAGCTGGGATGGAGGCGGGAGCAATAACCCCAGTGGGGGAGGTGCCCACTCTGACCCAGATGGGAGGGATAACCAGAGCTTTTCTGGACTTTTCCAGAAATCTGTGCTGGCTGCGCTCTACAGCTCGGAGGGCTCTGTCATGGAGGTAAATTGCCATCCTGCCCAGCCCCTGTCCTGAACCCCCAAAGGCCAGCGGCTTTCAAGTTAGACAGTTCTCAAGCCATGCTCTCCAGCTAGGCTGCAGGAGTTGTGCCTCATGGACCTCATTTTCCTGAAACGAGCACAGGTGGGGGTGTGACTCGGGCCACTGTGTCAGCCTGAGCCAGGCTTGGGAAACCAGCGGGAACAGAGCAACCCCGCCCCTCAAACCTGCCCGTCCCTTCAGGCCTGGGTCAGCTCTAATCCCTCAGTTTAGAGTCCCCAGGGCTGGTCTGCTCTCCAGTGGCCTCTTGGGTCAGGAACAGGATCCCAGACATCTGAACTGCCCTTGTGCAGGTCTTGATTCAGGGTGGGAACCACATTTCCAAGGTCACCTTGCCCCAGGCTGTTTCCTGTTGCATCCCCTCCAGAGGCTGCCCCTATTTGCACCCATAGAGATCTACGGCCTGCTCACTGTCTCCCAGGAGGCCCTGCGGCAACCCTGGTTCTGCCCTCTGTCCCCTGGGATGAGCCTGCTCCTCCTCCGAATGACAGCCCTTCACTATCAGGAGACGGGGCCTTGCCCTCTCTCCCTCACTGCCTTCCCTTGTCGGCAAACAAATATTTTCTGCATGAATTAGTGTCCAGGACATCAGGGGATCATTTCAGAATTTTCTTCCAGCCTTTGAGGCCCCCTGAGCATACCTTATCAGGCCCCTTCATGTGACAGCTGAGGACTCTGCCTCAGGAAGCTGGCCAGGGACTTGCCTGGGGCCACAGAGGGTTCTAATAGAGTACTCACAAAGGGAATGTGGATCCTAACTCTCCTTTCTGCCTGCTCTGCTGAGCTTGGGGTCCTGTCCCTGCTGGGCTTTCCTGCCTCTCTGGGAGCCTCTGGTCATGGGGACACTTTGATCCAGTGGGATCCGTCTCTCCTCTCCCCACAGAGGCATCATTTTGCTCAGGCCATTGCCATCCTCAACACCCACGGCTGCAACATCTTTGACCACTTCTCCCGGAAGGTGATGGGGCTGTGTGGGGGTCTGTGTGGTGGGAGCTGGGGACTGGCTAGACAAAGGAGCAGATCTGCCTTGGAGTGGAAGGGATGTGTGCAGCAGGGACCATGATGCCCTTCCCTGACCCTCTCCAGGACTATCAGCGCATGCTGGACCTGATGAGGGACATCATCTTGGCCACAGACCTGGCACACCACCTCCGCATCTTCAAGGACCTGCAGAAGATGGCTGAAGGTGCCACACCTCGCTGTTGGGGAGGGATGGGTGGTTTAGCATGGAGATCTGCTCACCTGAACATCTGCCGTGGTTCCGTCCTGCCCTTAGCCCATTCCTGGTTATGGTGTCCCTCCAGGCAGACCCAATGCTGGCCTCCCAGCTTCCATTAGGTGTACTTTGCTCCCCGTGGGACACTCCAGATCCACTTCGGGACAGGCTGTGGGGCCCTTGTTCTCGGAAGGGACAGGAGCGTGGACCCTTTGCCCTGACTCCATTGTCCCTCAACAGTGGGTTATGACCGAACCAACAAACAGCACCACAGGCTTCTTCTCTGCCTCCTCATGACTTCCTGTGACCTCTCTGACCAGACAAAGGGCTGGAAGACCACTAGAAAGATTGCGGTAAGAATGGGCCCTCCCACCTGAGGAAACACAAGCTATGTCCTCTGCCCAGCCCCGTGTCCCCCTACAGCATCCTGAACACCTTTCTGTGCTGAATTCTGCCTGGTTGTATTTTGGGGATTCATAAATCCAGACCACCTCAGGACCACAGATGAAGTGACTCCGAGATGGGCTCTGGCTTACCCATGGTCACACAATAAATTAGTGGCCAGTGTGAAGTGGGCAGAATCCAGGCTCTGTAGTGTACCATCTACTGTGAAGCTAGTGAGGGTAGGCCCTGGGTGGGACTGAGACACTAGGCCTCAGTTTGCCACCCTGGGAATGGGCTTAGGTGGACAGATCCCCCTTGCAGGAGATGATAAGAGTATTGCCTTCCAGGAGCTGATCTACAAAGAGTTCTTCTCCCAGGGAGACTTGGTATGTGTCAGGTGACCTCAGGATGCCCATGGTGGTGGTGTGCGGGGTGGGTGAGGTGTTCCTGGCACGAGGCTGGGAGGGTTTGGGTTAGCTGGCCCCACCTGGTACCTGATGGAGGAGCAGGAGGGCCAGACCTGATGATCTGGTACCTGCAGGAGAAGGCCATGGGCAACAGACCGATGGAAATGATGGACCGGGAGAAGGCCTACATCCCTGAGCTGCAGATCAGCTTCATGGAGCACATCGCCATGCCCATCTACAAGTGAGCTTGCGGGCACAGCTGGGACAGGTGTAGAGAGGGCAGGGCAGTGTATCCACCTCAGTGCTAGCAAGAGACCCTGCCACTTCCCCCTCAGACCCCATGGTCTTCATGCCGTCCCAATCCCCAGGCTTCACAGCCTTAATGGAAATGCTCTCTGTGGTGTGGTCCTCAACTTTCTTGCTGTCTGCTCTGTTTTCTGACCTCTAACCCCACCCCCTGCACCCCCAGGCTGTTACAAGACCTGTTCCCCAAGGCAGCAGAGCTGTACGAACGTGTGGCCTCCAACCGTGAGCACTGGACCAAGGTGTCCCACAAGTTCACCATCCGAGGCCTCCCGAGTAACAACTCGCTGGATTTCCTGGACGAGGAATATGAGGTGCCCGATTTGGATGGCCCTCGGGCTCCTGTCAACGGCTGCTGCAGCCTTGAGGCTGAGTGATCCCCTCTGGGGACCCTCCCTGCCCAGCCCTCTTTCCACAGCTCTCTGTCAGTCTGTCTGATGCATTGGGAACCAGAGCCATGGGTCCTGGGTTCTAGGCCAGGATGTCCCCTGTGACCCGGCACATACTACCCTTCCTGGGCCGGGCCTCAGCTTTCTCATCTGTAGAAGGGAAGCAAGATCCCTAGTCTCACACAGACTTGGCCATTTGTTCTTCAAGAGCTCAGTGGTGACCAGTGGCAGGGGGTTCCATTCTGCACCTCTGACCATACCGTGCCCAGTCCTGCCCAAGCTGCTCCATCCCTGAGCACTGCCACGGTCTCTTCTGTTACCCTGTTATAGCGCTACTAGGTCAATAGCCTTGTTTTCCTGGAGGAATCCCCGTTCCCTGGGCACTCCAAGATCCTCACGGAAGAGACTGCTGAGTGAGCAGAGGGTATACAACAGTCACCAGCTAGAAATAGCCATAGGATGAGGTGTCCTGAGGACACTCCTGTGCTTCTGGTAGGATTGGGACCCTTGGAGGAAGCTGACAGCCGGGTAATCGGGAAGAAAGTGCTCCGGCAGAAAGGACAGAAATGATGGACAGGGAGGATCCTCAAGCTGGGAGACAGCCCCTTATGCGCCCTTCAGGTGGTGTGGCCCCAAGCAAGTTCCTTTCCCTAGCTGGGCAAGACAGGATCCTTAGACAGCCTAGTCTCTGTTTAGATCAAAGTCCCCACAGTTCTGTGGAGTCCGCGAGCGGCTGTGGCATGCTCTGCCACCCCAAGGCACAGAGAGCCTCACCTTTCTTTTCCTCTGAGTGTATCTCCTTGGCCTGAGCCCCTCTCATTCCTGCCGTGAGGGAGGGGCCTGGCCTCACCCCGCAGGGCTTCTCTCCTCTTTAAGGCCATATCCACATGTGCCCCAGGGGCTCAGGAGACTCCCCCTCGGGCTGGGCCTCTTGGGTGAGTGGCCACTGGCTTCTCTTGTGTTTTGTTCCGTGTGTACTGTGGGTGGGGGAGGGGCCACCTGCCTTACCTACTCTGAGTTGCCTTTAGAGAGATGCGTTTTTCTAGGACTCTGTGCACCTGTTGTATGTGGTCCCGTGGGCTGAGTGCTTTGTACACGAGAATAAATCTATTTCTTTCTACCAACCCTCCCGCAGGAGGCTGTCTGTGGACTCTGTCTGTCCAGCAGGTGGAGGAGGAAGAGCTGGCAGAGGCCAGCACCCTAGAAACTCTGGCTACTGAAACCTCTACCCCTCGTTCCTAATTGTTCTTCTGGGGCACAACTGTTCTGGGGCCAGGATGTGTCATAGACCCGTTGAGATAATTCCTGGGCCAGATATGAGGGCTAGGGGTGGTTGGCACACCGGGGGCTCAGCTATGAAACGGCGAGGGAGTGCATCAGTCGGTAGATTGTGGACTGGAGAGGAAGACCTCAGAGTCAGAGGCAACCAGGGAAGCTACTTGGAGGAGGTGACCTGTGGCTCCTTCTACACCTCTGCGTGCTGGCCTGCCCTGGTCATAAGGCCCAAATAGCCAGTGCCCGGACCTCAGAGCCTCTCTCTACCTGCAGGATTGTCCGGGGAACCATCAGCCCCACATCCCAGTTTCTCCTAGTTTTGTGGAGGGGTCTCTCTGAGTGTGAGTCTCCATGCGGGATTTGACCCTGGTTTGTGCACGTGGCATTTGTCCCTGCTCGTGCAGCTGTACTGGCATTTGCTGCTGCACAAACAGCGGTGAACTCTGTGCTGGGAACTGTGAGGTGGCTCCTCTCCTCAATTTGCCTACTCCCTCCCATTCACCTCTCTGCTCACCACATCCTGACCAATCAACGATGATCTGTGAGGAGTCTGGACATTATTCTCCTTTCGTAAGGGTGGATGGGCCTGGAGGAGACCCATAGGGCATCCTGTGACCACAGCGATGTCCTGGGATGCCAGCCTCACCTTTGGGAACACAGAACCCATCTGCTGCCTCTGCTCACAGCCTGCGGGTTTGGAATTAGCTGTCTAGACTGAGTGGTCTCAGGATGTCCAAGTGCCTGGCCTCCAGATGTAGATTTCTTGCGACCTCTGCCCAGTCCTGTTTTGAGCTCCCCTAGGCTCTCTCTTCTCAGAGCCATGGGCTTCTAGGCTAGGCTGGAGGTCAGTGCCTGGCCCAAGATTGGAAGGAGATGGCTGGCTTATGGTGCCGGGCTGACACTAAGGTTGGTGCAGGTACATGCAACTGTTCTGCACACGACCCTAGGTGCTGAACACGCACCAGCACCCCTCCGTAAGCCTTTGGACAAAGGGGAAAAAAACCTGAGTGCAAACCCAAGGGGCTTTGCTGCTCCCCTCCACCTGCATCTGGTGTCCGTTCCCAGCCTCTGCCTCCCTGCAGGCCCAGGCTATGATAGCCTTCCTCACCATCAGATTAGGTGACTAACATGCAAATCATTTTCTGTGCATGCAGAACTCTGTGCTGGGGGCCATGCTAGCCTGCTCTTTGTTTATGGCCCCAAGGGTCTCACATTTAGGTGAAGGAGACCAATCCATCTCAGTCCCAAGTGCCTGGGTACTAGGCCCTGGTGTGCCAGCTGGGAGCCCAAGCTTGAGAACCACAGCTAAGCTGAAGGATGAATAGGTGCTGTTTTCCTGCAGGTAGAAGGGGAAAGCCCTGTGGTTGAAGAAACTGTCCCTGTGAAGGCACAGATGAAGGGCAGGTGACTTGTGGAGGAGTACAGAGACAAGAGGGATAAGGCTAACCCAGGAAGGGCCCAGATGCCAAGCGGTGGTGCTTGCCTCTCTGGGTGAAGCATGGCCCTTGCTGAATGAGGAGTGGATCTGAGAGATGCTGATGTCGCAGGACTTGGTGAACAGGGGACTGTGGTTGCAGAGAGAGGAAAGTGTACTGGGAGCCGGGGTCCCTGTGTCCCACGATAGTGTAGACGTCTGCTCATCCCCACCGTACCCCTAGTGTGACAGGAGGAGCTCAGGCATGACTGAACTTTCTGGCAGGGTGGTCAGGGCAGCTCCCTGGGGATGTCAGGGATGAAGACCAGGGTCAGGGACAAGGTTGGGTGGGGTAAGGGCCATCTGCATAGAGCCTGCAGACAGCCCTCATAAAGCCACAGGACACACAGCCAGCCCCGTCGGGCGCGTGTAACGATCCTGCCCTCAATGGTCCCAGTTGGCATTTTATTTGAACATCACAAGTTTCTGGGGCATGGGTGCCACTGCCCATTATGTAGCTGAGCGGTCCGAGGTCTGGAGAGATACTTTGCCAAGGCTAGGCTGTGAGGCAGCCCAGCATGTCTGGCTCCTCCTCTCCAAGGCCTCTTCTATAGGAGAGAAGGCTATCCTGGAGGACAGGAGCTCCACCTGCAGTCCAGGCAGTCTGGGCAGTACTGCCATGGGGCATATGGGTGACCAGCAAGTGGGCTGGGCCCCAAAGAAGGAGCTGGGATAGGAGGAGTGTGTGCACATGCATCCTGTGTTTACAACAGTGGTTCTCAACCTTCCTAATGCTGCGACCCCTTTTATACAGTTCCTCGTGTTGCGGTGACCCCCAACCTTAAAATCATTTTCTTTGCTACTTTATAACTGTAATTTTGCTACTGTTATGAATCGTAATGTAAATACCTGCATTTTTCAATAGTCTCAGGCGACCCCTGCGAAAGGTTGTTTTGACCCCCTCCGAGGGGGTCACGACCCACAGGTTGAGAACTGCCCGTTTACAGGGTTGCAGGGGTAAGGTGGCATGTAGTGCTGCTATGGCCACCAGGTGGCACTCCCACGGCAGCCCTCTTCCCCAGAGGCCAGGGACTGGTGTGTCCCTGCAGGTGTGTTCCAGGGTTAATGTCTCTCCTGTTCACCTATATAAGCCCCTCTCACACTCAGTCACACCATAGCATTCCCACAGCAACACACACACACACACACACACAGCCTCATCGGTCCATTTTATTTTACACGCTCATCACCACACGCAGGCCCTACACAGCCGGCACTCTAAACACAGCAGCCCCTAAGGCTGTTTTGTTGTCTGAACAAGACGGAGGTCCATGAGCTCTGCCTGAGTGCTATGCCATATCCCTGGGGGGAGGGGTCTGCCTGCTGAGGGGTCTCTCTCTGGGGCCCTTGAGGAGGGCAGGACAAGCTTCGTGGTCAGGTGTGGGGAGAGCTGATACCCCTCCCCCACCCCCACCCCCTACGTCTGAACCGGTGGCAAGAGAGCACTGGAGTCATCAGGAGAGAGCAGCATGCCCTCCCCCATGCTTCTGAGGTGGGATAGGCAGGGAAGCCTGGGCTCAAGGGGAGGGCTTGTGGTTAGGTGGGAGGACAGGCAGATAGGGGAGGGGGCTGCAGACAGGCTGGAAGGGCAGGCTGGGAGGTGGCGAGTTGGGGGGGGGGCTTGTTCAAAGCCTCGGCCCCTCATTCCTGCCGACTGTCTCAGCACTGGGTCTCTTTAAGAAGGGGACTGGGGAGAGAGTGGGGCCCTGGATGGCTGAACTAAGGACGGTTGGAGGTGATCAGACAGGGTGAAGGTAACTGAGAGAGGGTGAGAAGAGGCTGTTTTACAGCCATGTTGCAATGTCCTGGTGTGTGTGTGTGTGTGTGTGTGTGTGTGTGTGTGTGTGTGTGTGTGTGTGTGTTAGATCCAGGGATGTGAAGATGTGAGAGGAACTGGGTCCCCAGGGAGATAAGGGCAGCCATTGTCCCAGAGGCCAGGCTCTGGGCAGCAAGTGGGGAACAGAGTTAGGAAGATGGGGAGGCAGCATGGGTGTGGGGCAGATGAGGGGATATTAATGGGAGGCCCCGCCTGACAGAAGTTCACACCTGTGGGTTCCCTCCTGAAGCACAAAGCCAAGAGCTGTCACCACACAGAGGCACCTGGGCTCCCTGTCTTCACAAGCCGTCCAGAGCTGTCTCTCCTCTCCGGGCAGGACAGGCGTTGGACTCCTCACTGGTGATAGTTCTCTTGTCCAGCATCAGAGAGGAGGAGCCTTGCTGGAGTATCAGGATGGGAGGGAGCTGGGAGGGAGGCTGTCCCACGTCACATGGGGGGCTGCGTGTGAGTGAAACCTCAGTACACACAGCACAGCCGGGTTGTTCTGGTGGGAGGGACACACCAGGATGAGTCCCTGTAGAAAGCAGAGGGCATCATCGTGATTGGAGGTTGGTGGGTCAGGTGTGACACCTGACGGAGGGATGGCTTCCTGCCAACATGGCTGCCCTTCTCAATCCGCAAGTCATTTATGAAGAGGCTATAGAAACAAGTAGGAAGCGTGGGATCGGAGGAGCAGAGGACAGTAACCCGGGGTGCACTGGGCAGGAGGAGAGAACGAAGTGAAAAGTCAGGTTGGAGGAAAGCACTCACAGCCTCCAGGCTGCCTTGCACAATCACTGCCTGCCCTGACAGCTGCGCACATCTGGGGAGAGGCCTCCTCATGGGGCTGCTGCTCAGAGGGCTCCAGTCAGGAACCACAGCATCCTTCTGCGGCTGTGGGGTGCTGGGAGCTCACCTCCACCATTTGTTTAAAGCCAAGACCCCAGCACACACAGGGCCTGTCTGTAAGCTCATCTCCTGGGGCTCTCCACCCCCCCAGGGTTGTCCCCAAGGCAACTGGCTCATAGGTCAAAAGAATACACTGGTTGGTTAGAAGAAAGATAAAAAACCAGACAGCACAAAGCAGTCTGAGGCAGGCTTGCTGGAACAGATGGGTCCCGCTCTAAAATAAATGCCTTGAATTTACTTAAGGAGATATGGGAGGATAATAGCAGCACGAAGTTAGAGCAAGAAATCTTTATAAAAGAACCAAGTAGAAGTATCAGGCATGAAGGAAAAATGGCTGGAGTAGAGAAGGCTGGAGTGGTAAGTGCTGGCCATGGTGGCTGCTGCTGGAGGAGAGCTGAGAAATTTGACATCGGCTAGACCAGCTCTTGACAAAGGCAGTGTGGGAAAGGAGCCAGGAGCTAGTGTGGCAGTGAATGTAAGAGCTGTCGGAAAAGATGGAGGTTCCCGCATCCAGATAACAAGTTCAGACGAGGGGAGAGGAAATATCTGCAGAAAGTCGGTGGTGGAGCCAGGATTTGTGACTCATGCCTGAAATCCCAGAACTTGGGCCCAGGCAGGAGGATTGTGAGTTCAAGGCAAACCTAGGATGC